CACTGGAACCTTGGGTGGGGCTCTCCCTGGGGCCACGATGCGTGTAAGCAGTGTGCCCGAATTGGGCGGTGCCGCCATGTGAACGTAGCCACTGGGGCCTTCGGTGGAGATCTCTGTGGGGCCACGATGCGTGCACTGGGTGCGCGGAGTTGGACAGAAAGGTGAAAAGAAAGGAAGAAAGGAGGTGAGGAGGAGGAGGAGGAGGAGGAGGAGGAGGAGGAGGAGGTGGAGCGCGGCCCTGAGGAGTCAAAACGAGGAGCCGACACAAGAGAATGGCTGGGAAAAACAGAAGTCTATTGGATATGGGTTCTTCAATCTGGGCGCGAACGGGCCCGCGGAGCACGCCTGGTCACCATCCCCTTACGAGGCCCGAACGCGATGCATGCTACACCGCGGTGATCATTAGACTCTGAGCGGGACGCGTCTATCCCCCGCTCTCACTCCACCGCCACACAAAAACAGGTGGTCTGCCTGACAGGTCTCACCCATCTGGGCGCGAACGGATCCTTGCAGTACCCCGGGTCAGCACCCCGCTCGGGGGCCCGCGAATGCGATCATACTGCATCGCTGTGACCAAAGTCATGAGAGTGTGAGCAGGAATGGCTGGGTAACACATTCAAGTAAGTCTGAGTATGGTTCGGAGTATGGGTGATTCTGAGTATGAGAGAGTCTGCGCGTGCGTGAGTCGTATGATGAGTGAGTCTGAGAATAGGTTGGTCTGAGTGTCAGTGAGCGTGAGTGGGTCTCAATATGAGTGAGTCTGCGTGTGGGTGAGTCTGCCCGTGTTTGAATTTGAATGAGGATGGGTATGAGTGTAAGTCTATATGAACACATGTCAAGCGAGAGAGAAAGAGAGAGAAGAAGAAAACATGAGTGAGTCATAGTATGAGCGCCTGCGTCTAAGTGGCTCTGTGTGGTTGAGTCTGTGTGTGTGAGTAAGTCTAAATAGAATGAAAAAGGTCGGCGGGAAGGAGGAAAGTAAGGCAAAGGTGTTTGTGAGGTACAAGAACACACATATTTAGGATAGGCACAGCCTCTTTCTGCGCTTGGAGGTCATCGCAGATTTCATGGATCGACGCTGGACACCCCTCCCCGCCACCCCCAGCACGCACGGGGGACGGGTGTGGACGAGGGGGTGCAGCGTCTACCCAAGATATCTGCGCGGACCCCCGGAAGCTCATGGTCATGTAGTGCTGTTTGGCCCCCTAGCCTCGAACACGTGGAAGGACTCGAAGGACATGATGCAGCTGCGGTGGAACACGTGTGAACAGGACAAGAGCTCCACCCGCCCAGCGGCGCCGCCACCGCCGCGCAGCTGGCAGTCCTGGAAGCAGATGGGGCAGTCGACGGCGTCTCCCCTCCCGAGCGCCGCCCGCCGGGCGCTCGCCCAGGTCTCCGCGTCCGGGCAGGCGGGGCTGGCGCTCGTGGAAGACGACGCGGGCTGCCTGGACGGAGCCGAGGCCGCTGGCTGCGGCGGGGCGGGGGCAACTCCGGGCGCTCCGCCCGACCGCGCGGCGGACTCCAGGCCCGTGCCGCCCGTCCTCGCCGCGCCGTGGAGCTCCTCCAGGCCCAGGAGGCTCTGCCGCAGCTGCTCCGTGTGCACTTCGCGCTCGCCGTCCAGCTCCTGCATAAACCGTTCCAGGGCGTCCTCGCGCTCCTCACACGCTCGCACCAGCTTGTTGCCCACAGCCTGCAGCGCCCGGCCGAACACTTTCCGGTGTAACGCTGGCGCCTCGGCTCTCGCCTCCGGCTGCCTGAGCCGCTGGTAGACGTCAGCACGCTCGCGGTAGCCTCGCCAAGCGCGCTGGACGCGGCTGGCGCACTTGTTGCGCCAGACCATGAAGCCCCCGAAGTGCACGGTGGCGTCGTACGACGGGCATCGGCAGATGGGGCAACGGCGCTCCCCAGAGAAGCGTTCGAAGCTGCGCAGGCATTCGCTGTGGAAGACGTGAGAGCAGCTCAGAATCAGCTGGCGCCTCTCGCGGAAGTCGTCGAGGCAAATGCTGCACGGCACGCCGCTGTCCTCTCGCGCGTCGGACCTCTTCTTCACCAGGTCCCACTGCTCCGCCGACAGCGGCATGGACGGCTCGGCCACCAGCCCCATGCGCTGGGCCAGCGTCAACGACGCCTGGTGCCTGCGGACCTTCTCCTCGTAGTCCAGCTCGGCGTACCCGTTGAAGCCGCCGCCGCCGCTCGGGCGTGCAGAGGCTGCCCGGGGGCTCGCCCGCCTGCCCGGCGCGGAGGCCGCGCCGCCGCCGCCGCCGCCGCGGGGCCGGGCGGGCCCGCCGCCGCCCATGAGGTGCGCCTGCAGCGCCACCGCGCGCCAGACCTCCCCGCGCTGCCCGTCGGTCGCCACGCCCGCGCCCGGAGGCGCGGGCGCGCCCCCCGCGGGCCTCGCGCGCGCCGCGGGCGGGGCGCTGTGTGCGCCGGCCGGCCTGCGGCCGCCCGCCGGCATCGCGCACGCGCGCACGGAGAGTCCGCTGGGCGTGGCGCGGAGGGCCTCGGCCTCCCGGGGTCTGAGGCAGGCTCGGAGCTCGAGCTGGCTGGCTCGAAGCAGGAGCCGTCCAGCACAAAGGTGGGACCTGGCAGCGCACCTCCTCAGTTCGATTACGCGTTTTCCATCCCGACGGCTACAAGTGCGCAGACGACGAGGAGGGGCGACGCCACCAGCGGCCTGAGCGGCCGCAGGCAGATGATGATGACGACGGCAACGGTAATGACGGCCAGAACGGCCACAGGCGGGCAGCTGCTGTGGCAGCGATGATGGTGGCGGCCACGGCGGCAGAAGTGGTCGCTAGGACGGGCAGCGATCATGATGGGGAAGATTGTGGCAACCGTGGACGAAGGACTGCAAATGGCAACGATGGCATCGGACAAAGGACGAACGATCGAGGAGGCGATCCGGACGATCCCACCTGGCACCTTGAGACGCGGTGGAATGCCGCGTGCTGTCTGGTAGGGTTCCCTGAGTCTTCTTCTAAAGGCCCCCTCCCCCACGTCGCCAGCGTCATCGTCGTCGTCATCGTCATCGTCGTCGTCATCGTCATCATCTCGTCGTCGTCATCGTCATCAACATCGTTATCGGCATCGTCGTCGTCGTCGCCGTCAGCGTCGACGTCATAGTCTGTATCATCATCATCGTCACCGTCATCGTCATCGTCATCGTCGTCATCGTCATCGTCATCAGTATCGATATCGTCATCGTCGTCACCGTTATCGTCGTCGTCGTCATCGTAATCGTCGTCGTCGTCGGCGGCGTCGTCGTCATCGTCATCGTTATCGTCATCGTCAGCGTCGTCGGCATCGCCATCGTCCGAGAAGGCAGCGGCATCGTCGTCGTCATCTTCGTCACCATCGTCGTCGGCATCGTCATCGTCAGCGCCAGCGTCGCCATCGTCGTTGTAGTGTGCATCGTCGTCGTCGTCATCAACATCGGTCGTCGTCGTCGTGATCGTCGTCGTCGTCCTCATCTTCTCAGTTGTCGTCATCATCGTCATCGTCATTGTCGTCGTCATCGTCATCGTCATCGTCATCGTCGTCGTGGTTATCGTAGTCGTCGGCATCGTCATCGTCATCGCCATTGTCGTCAGCGTCGTCATCATCGGCGACGTCGCCGTCATCGTCATCGTCATCGTCGTCGTCAGCATCGTCGTCGTCGGCATCGTCGTCGAAATCGTCATCGGAATCGTCGTCGTCATCGTCATCGTCATCGTCGTCGTCATGAGCGTCACCGTCTGCATCGCCATCGTCGTCGTCATCGTCATCATCATCATCGTCACCGTCGTCATGCTCGTCGTTGTCGTAATCGTCATTATTATGGTTATCGCGATGGTCGTCGTGGTTATCGTCGCTATCGTCGTCGTCGTTATCGTCATCCTCGTCGATGTTGTCGTCGTCGTCATCGTCGTCGTCATCGTCATCAACATCGTGGTCGTCATCGTCATCGTCGTCGTCGGCATCGTCATCGGAATCGTCGTCGTCCTCGTCGTCGTCATCGTCATCGTCGTCGTCATCGTCATCGTGGTCACCTTCGTCGTCATCATCTGCATCGTAGTCGTCGTCGTCTCCGTCATCGTCCATCGTCATCGTCATCATCATCATTATGGTCATCGTCATCGTCACCGTCGTCGTCGTCGTCGTGGTCGTCGTCAGCGTCATCGTCATCGTCGTCGGCGTCGTCGTCGTCATCGTCGTCGTCATCGTCATCGTCGTCATCGTCGTCGTCATCATCGTCACCCTCTGCATCGTTCTCGTCGTCATCGTCATCATCGTCATTTTCGTCATCGTCGTCGTCGTAGTCGTCGTCATCGTCATCATTATCGTCATCGTTATCGTCGCTATCGTCGTCGTATTAATCGTCATCGTCATCGTCGTCGTCGTTGTCGTCCTCGTCATCGTCGTCGTCATCGTTATCGTCATCGTCGTCGTCATCGTCGTCGTCGTCGGCATCGTCATCGGAATCGTCCTCGCCCTCGTCGTCATCGTCATCGTCGTCGTCATCGTCGTCATCGTCGTCATAGTTTGCATCGTCATCGTCGTCGTCCTCATCGTCATCGTGACCGTCATCATTATCGTCATCGTCATCGTCACCGTCGTCGTCGTCGTCGTCGTCACCATCGTAATCGTCATCGTCATCGTCGGCGTCGTCGTCGTCATCGCGGTCATCATAGTCATCGTCGTCGTCATCGTCATCGTCATCGTCGTCGTCATCGTCGTCGTCATCGTCGTTGTCGGCATCGTCGTCGTCTTCATCGTCGTCGTCGCCGCCGTCTCGACTAGACGTAAGAGTGACCTTTCGCAGGAGTGACCTTCGGTGCGGGGACAGACGGGTCCCCAGATGGCTGAAAACGAAGCAGTGGCAGCTGCCTGCGCGCCCAGGTTTGGTCCCCACGCGGCCCCCAAAAAGCCGCGCACCGAAGGTCACTCTTACCCAGGGTCACTATTGCGTATAGCCGAGTCGTCGTCAACCCGGCGGGCGGCCGGGCGGGCGTGAGCCGCGCCTGCATTCCTCTCGAGACGGCTTCTGCCCGAACTTGATCACCGGTTCCGTGCCCCTCCTCCTGGGGTAAGGGGAAGGAGGCCAAGATGCGAATGACAAGAAGGGTAACCAGAATCGGAGAGGAATAAGGAGGGAAGAGGGGTGAGGAAGGGAAGGATAAGGAAGAGGAGGAATAAGAAAGAGGGAAAAGAAGGAGGATAAAGAGAAGGGAAGAGGAAGAGGAGGACGAGAGAGGTGAAAAGAGAGAAGGAAGATTGAGAAAAGACTGAGGGAAAGGAGAGAGTGGGTACCAGACTCGGTTGAGGCCACAGTAGGGCCACTCATGGGGCCACAAGTGACCTTACATTGACGCCACCCGCAAGATCACGAGCGGAGCCACAATGTGACTACTTGAGGAATGGGTGTCCTGGGGCAGGACCGTTGTGGGGCCACTGTTAAGTCCAATAACGGACCCACCGTGACGCAAGTCGTGGATGGAGTCACATAGCCTACAAATGTCGACAATGTATGGCCAATTGTGACACACAAAGGAAGCAATGGTGTGGCCACGCGTGGAATCCCATTCCACAAGTTGTACCACTGCAGGGCCACTTGTGGAACACACGCCACGCCAATGTGGAGCCGCTACAAGCGTTCTCCCATTCCACCTAGCATAACGCGCCGCGGGTGAGGGGGAGGCTTGCGGGTGTGGAGGGGGGGGGACAGGCGGCAGGGCACAACGCAGAGGATCGCGCGTCTTGGCCGCGAGTATTACCTCGTCGTCAACGCTGTCGCCGATGCTGCCGCGTCCGCAGCGATGCCGCCAGCACCCAGTCGGGCTCCACCCTAACTCTACGTTGCGACAGGCTCCACACTAACTCCACGATGCGAGATCGAGTGTCAGCTAAGCGGAAGCGGAGAGCTGCGTCTGGGCTGAGCGACTCGGCGGACAAAGTGGGCATGCGGCTGAACCGGCGGTGTCAATCCGGCGGAGTTGCTGTCGAGGAGCGGGCGGGGCCACGCCGGGGCCGCGGCCCGCCACCAGCCCGTCCGCCAACACTCGTCGTCCAGCTCTGCAGCGGGCGCAGCAGCGACCTCCAGGAGACGGAGGCCCGCGGGGGCAGGCTGCATGCGAAGCTGCCGCCGTGGCCTGCGACCACCCCCCACGGCGCCGTCCACCTCGGCGTCGCCGCGCGTCTCGCCGCCGTCGGCGCGAGCAGCGTCGGCCGCGGCCCCGCCGCAGCCCGCAGCGCCGCCGCCACGACCACCAAGCCCCCGTCGCCGTCGCCGCCTCCCAGGGCCAGCAGCAGCGCCAGGCGCGGGCGCGGTCGGCGGTGTGGCGGGAGCCCGAAGGCTCGCCACCGCCGCGCGCAGCAGGCCCTCGGCGGCCGGCAGCAGGCGCACTCCCGACTGGGCGTGGCCTGCCGCGGGGCCTGCCGCGAGGCCTGCCGCGGCGTGCCTCGCCGGGAGCGCCCCGCGGGCTGCTTCCTCGGCGACGCGCTGCTGCGAGAGCGCACCTGGCGTTGCCCCGCAGCGAGCGCGGCGCGGCCGCGGCCCAGCGATGCGGAGTTGAGCCAAAATGGTGTTTGAGCCAAAACGGCTACAGAGGGCAGGGAGAGAGGAGGGAGGAGGAAGGGCGGAGGGAACGGGGAGCGGGAAGCGGAAAGGAGTGAGAGAGGAGGGACGAGTGAGGGAAGAGTGAGGGAGGAGTGAGAAGGGAGAACGGCTGAGGAGGGGAGGAGCAGGGCGGACGGGAACGAGGAGAGAAGGATGCACGAGCGAGGGCGCGACCCAGAATTCTGGTGACTCAATTTTTCCAGCCGTCCGCTTCCGAGGCTGTCGCCTCGACCCAGGTCGTCTTTTGACAGCCCCGGGTCTCAGAAACGGCCTCCAGAGGCAGACACTTACGAAGGACCTCCCCGCGCTGTTCATCGGGTCGCCAAAGGTCTGGGGAGGGAAACGGGTCCTGGAAATCCTGCGGCTCCTCAGAACCCGCTGTTCATCCCGAATCGTTGTTTGACGATCCTGGGGTCCGGAAAAGGCCCCGAGAGGCCAAACCCCCGCGTCAAACAAAAGAAAACCAAAAATCCGTTCCCTCGAGGTCCCCTTAGCTCATGGCGAGGGAGGCTGGAATCGGCTTGGACGACATGGGGGCTGCAGAGGGGGATAGCGAACCAGCTAGAAGTAATTCTCCGGTGCTGCCCCGCGCCGACCCGCGCCTGAGGCCACAATGTATCGAGGAGAGCGCCTGGCGGCTGGGCCGAAACCAGCCTTTGCGGAGGCATCTTGGGGACCTACTTGGGCCTCTTGGGGGCCTTTGGGGGCTTCTAGGGGGTTTCTTGGCAATCTGAGGACATTCCTGGCCCGTCTGACGCCGCTCGGAAGCCGTCTTTGGGACCTCTCTGGGCCGACTTGGGGCCTCTTTGGAGTGCTCCAGGGCCGTCTTGGAGGCCATCTTGGGCGCCTTGGAGGCCTCTTGGGCCGTTTTGGGGCCCCCTTGGGGCTTTTGAGGGCCTGTTGGGCCGTTCTGGGGCTATCTTGGACACGCCGCAGACTGCGTGGCCCTGGCCCACCCCGACCACGGCGAGGGTCCTGTCGTCTCGGTCGGCTTTGGCCGCCGCCGCGGCGGCGCGGGCCGGCTCCCGCGCCTTCGGCTTGGCCGGGGCAGGCTTGATGAAGCCCTGGCGCGCCGCGCGGGCGGCCTGCTCCTCGATTCTCGTCATCGTCATGGCCATCAGAGAGCTTCTTGGCAGCATCAGCATGTCCGTGATCATCATCATCATCATCATCATCATCATCATCATCATCATCATCGTCGTCATCATCATCATCATCATCATCATCATCATCATCATCCTCCTCCTCCTCCTCCTCCTCCTCATCATCATCATCATCATCATCATCATCATCATCATCATCATCATCATTACCACCATCATCATCATCATCATCATCATCATCGTCAGCAGCAGCATCATCATTACCATCATCTTCACCATCTCAGGGTCACCAACAAACAGCCAACGTCGCCATCGGCATCGCTATCATCACCGCAGCCGTAGGAAGAGAATCGTCATCGTGAGAATCACCACCAACCATCATCAGCACTGTCATAATCGCAGTCATCACCGTCATCGTCATCACAAAAGCCACGACCATCGCCAACGTAATCACCATCGCCAACGCCATCAACTTCAGCATCGTTATCGTTCCCAGCCATGCTCATGATGACCATCCTCACAACCAGCATCATCTCCATCATCATCCTCATCACCATCATCACCATCATCATCATCATCATCATCATCATCATCATCATCATCATCACCGACAACAGTATCAGAATAAAGATCGTCACCATCAGCAGCAGCACCGTCACCATCATCACCACCTCATCGTCACCGTCACAACAATAGTGACCATCGACACTGTTATCATCACTATAACGATGACCACAACCAACATCACCAGTATCTCCACCACATCCATTATCAACCCTGTCATCGGAGTAGTCACCACCGTCATCATCATCATCATCATCATCATCAGCAGCAACAGCAGCAACAGCATCATTACCACTACCATCACCAAAACGTACATCGTCATCGCCACCCTTACTATCATCAACATCGCCAATACCGTCAACATGATCATCCGTGGAAGTATCACACAATACTCTTTACCATTATCAGTATCATCATCGCCGTCATCGCCGTCATAAGACTCATCATCATATTTATGCTCATCGTCGTCGTCGCCGTCAGCATGGTCATCGTCGGCATCGTCGTCATCACCATCATCATCTCCTTAATCAGCAGCATCATCATGATGGTCGTCGTCATCGGCAGTATCACCATCAGCATGATCGTTTGCAGCAATATCTGCAGGATTGTCATTACAAACATCGCCATCTCACACCCCTCATCACCATCGACAACGTTAGCATCACCTCTGCCACAAAAACCATCAGTGTGATCAACACCACCAACATCATCATCACTACACCCACCCTCATCACTATCAGGGTCGTGCGCACCACATTCCGCATCATCGTCAGCATGAGTCACCATCAAAACCAGCATAAACATCAGCATCACCACACATACAATCAACGCCAGCATCATCATAATCATCACTACCATAAGCATACCCGTCATCATCATCAGCATCATCATCACCATCAGCAGCAACATCGTCGTCGTCATCGTCATCATCATGGTCATAACTATCGTAATCAGCATCGTCATCGTTGTCATCAACGTCGTGATCGTAATCATCAGCATCATCATCATCATAGTCATCATCATCATCGTCATCATCTCCATAGTCGTCGTCATCAGCATCTCGTCACAGACCCTCTCCTCACACGCACCCTCATAATCTTACTTCAACTCCTTTTCCCCCTCCTCCTAATCGCTTTGTTCATCAGCATCGTCGATTCTGCCGAACCCTCGCCACGCGACGGAGAAACTTCGCGTGGCAGGCTGGACCACGGCAGGGGCGGGGGCGGGGGTAGCAGGGCTGGCTGGTATGATTCCCTGGCGCTGCAAACTGTTCGTTATCTCCTGCCTCCTCCTCCTCATCATCATCATCATTATCAGCATCATCACCGTCATCATAATCCCCCTGTTCTTCATCATCAGCATCAGCATCAGCATCAGCCACATCATCAGCATCATCATCAACATCATCAACAACATCAGCATTTCTGTTGTTTTCCGACCGCGACAATTACCAATGGAAAAGTTGCATGTTTGAAGTGATACACATGTTGGCGGACTACCATGGATGCAAAAATTATGGCGCCAGCGGAAAACCTGCCGATCTCTGCTCTGCCTACTGAAAGTGGGTCTTCGAATTTCCTCCTAGCGCCATGTTGACTGCGGTGCTCGTGGCGCGCAGCTTCTCAAACGTCCAGGTCAAAGCGCAGCGCGCGTAGCGGCCGGTGCACAGTGCACGGCCCACCCTGGGGCCGAAGGCGACCCGAGGAGAGGATGAGGAGGAGGAGGAGGAGGAAGCGGACCGCAGGGCGAGGGAGGAGACGATGCGAGGCCGGAATGCACCCACACAGGCTGACAGAGCAATGTTAAAAAAAAGTTGTATGCTCGAAGTGATCCACAGAAGCTTCAACCACATTGCCGACTGCTGCTGGCCAGCTTCGGGAGGACAAATCCTGCCCCCCAACGGAAAAAAGGAGCACACATACAGCGTCACACACTACACATCACCCACCACTTGCATCAGGGGGCGGAAATTCGGGCGCGTGCTTGGCGTGGGCACGGCTGTAAATTCAAGCTCCGTGAACCACCACGTAAACTTGCACAGCAACCGGACCAAATAACAAGGATCACATTCGCCCCTGCACGCCACGCAACTGAGACCTGTACACTCAGCGCGCATTGTCCCCAGTGCTCTAATGCCGAAGGTAAGCATGAGTTGTGTAACAGCTATGTCCATGGAGTGAAACGACCCCTTGTGAGAAGGGCTGGAAGGGGAACAAACTAAGAAATGGCGGACGGCCAATTTGACAAATCAAGGTGCAAACAGCGACGGCCTGCCTCCAAGAGGACAGGACAACACCAAGAATGATCGATCGACTCGGACCCTGAGGTCTTGCAGCAAGCGCATGGGGCTTCCTTTTGAAAGCGCCGTGCGGTTGCCAACCATGGATGAAAAGAGTATGTATACAAGCAGAGAAGACACACGGAAGAAACTGGTGCCGCAATCTTGACATGTTGCTTGCAGAGCAATCCGCGCAGAAGCGCAGGTTCGACGGTCCTAAGATGTAGCTCCACCTTTTCAGCCGTCGTTGGATGGCCTGAACAGGGCACGCTGGAAACAAGCGGCCGTGCAATTGCTTGTAAATCGCTGTTTGGCCAGCCCTGGCCCCACCGCGAATCGTAACCAATGACACTCCCATTGTGCTGAATCGGGTGCGTGCGCGATCCAAAACACGGACGGCCAAACGATCAAGCCACGATTGCCACCCCCACTGCAGCGGAGCATGGTCACTCAAAGCACCGCGTTGCAGTAGGCTGAAGCTGGTGCGCCAGCTGGCGCATGTAGCAGACAAGGTCCTACCCGCAGATGCTAGATACAAGGCCGTCACAGAAAGAAACGGTACTGGTTGTCCGAGCTGGTCGGGGGCAGCCAGTTCCCCGGCCCGGCGATCAATTTGCGAAGCATCGCACGCTCGGGCTTTAGGAGGTCAGCGGTAGGCTCAACCCGCTGCAAGCCGAACCCCAGCACGTTGATGGCGATGGAGTTGTATGGCAGCGCAGTGGCCGGCTAACCGGGTGAGAGGTCCTTGATATACTGGACTCCGCCCAAATACTTGCACATAGGTGCCAAGAGAGATAGCGGGCCGCTCCTGTACCAAGGAAGACACTGAGGTATTTGCCAGAAGATTCACACAAGAAATCGCCCCAGAAAGGAATAACTCCTCTCCGGAGCCGCGCGAAGCGTTCCAAAGAAATCGGCCACAGATGAATGATCACACACTTCCGAGGCTTGCTCTTGAGATTCGAAATACGTGCGAACTCGTTGAAGAGGAATGCTGTGACTGGCCCGTTAATCCATATCCTCCCCAGTATGATGGCGATGTCGTCGGCAAAAACTCGCAACAGGCAGCGGTCGCCCAAGTTATGAACCAGTGCTCGAAGAAATTAGTCCATTGCTATAGCAAACAGCGTAGGGCTGAGGGGGCAACTTTGCTTCACTCCAGAAATCATCATCAGCATCATCATGATGATCATCATCATCATCACTATCAGCATCATCATCATCATCATCATCATCATCATCATCATCATCATCATCATCATCATCATCATCATCATTATCATCGCCATCATCATCATCATCATCATCATCATCATCATCATCATCATCATCAATATCACCATCATCATCATCATCATCAGCATCATCGGCATCATCAGCATTGCCATCATCATGATCATTATCCTGCTCATCATCAGCATCATCATCATGATCAGCATCATCAGCATCATCATCATCCGCATCATCAGCATCATCATTATTACCATGATCGCCATCAACATACTCATCATCATCAACAACATCGTCATCATCATCATCACCATCATAATCGTCATCACCATGATCAGCATCATCATCAGCAGCAGCACGATCACCATCACAGTCATCATCATCATCATCATCATCATCATCATCATCATCATCATCATCATCTGCATCGTCATCGTCGTCGTCATCATCATCACCATTATCATCATCATACCCGTTCACCGCCTCCTCCTTCTCCTTATCAATGTTTCCCGTCCCTCAGTTCTTCTTACCACTTCAAACAGAGGGTGTAGCTCCACAAGGCAGCCGAGGCCCCAGAAGCGAGAGGGAGAGCGGACATGTAGGTCTGTCTTCCTCCTCCTCCGGATCATCATGGTGGTGGTGATGGTGATGGTGATGATGATGGTGATGCTGGTGATGGTGATGACGATGGGGAGGAGGAGGAGATGATGATGATGATCCTGATGACGATGACGATGACGATGATGATGATGATGTTGATGTTGATGATTATGGTGAGGAGGAGGATGCTGATGATGATGGCGATGATGCTGATGATAGTGATGGTGATAGTGAGAATGCTAACAATTATGATCTTGATGATGAGCATGATATTGATGATGATGATGATGATGGTCACGGTGATGGTGATGATGGTGATGATGATGGTGATGGTGACCGTGATGGTGCGCGATGGTGATGATGGTCGTGGTGATGATGGTGATGATGATAATGATGATGGTGGTGAAGGGTGAAGAGGATGGTGAAGGTGGTGATGATAATATTGATGAAGATGGTGATGACGATGATGATGACGATAATGACGACGACGACGATGACGATGATGATGATGATGAGGGTGGTGATGTTGTTTATGATGGCGATGATGCTGGTGATGGTGATGATGCTGGTGGTGATGATGGTGATGATAGTGATGATGATGACGATGATGATGGTGATGACGATGATCGTGATGGTGATGACGATGATGATAACATTGGTTATGAGGGTGATGATGTGCCTGATGCTGATGATGATGACGATGATGACGATGATGAGTATGATGATGGTGATGGGGATGATGATGATGATGATGATGATGATGATGACAATTTGGATAGTGATGATGATGATGATGATGGTGGCGATGGTAGTGGTGGTGATGTTGATGATGATGATGAGAACGAGTATGGTGGTGGTGATGCTGATGCTGGTGATGATGATGCTGTACATGATAACAATGATGATGTTGGTGGTGATGATGGTGATGATGCTGAGTACGATGATGATGGTGGTGGAGATGATGGTGATTAGGATTATGATGATGATGGTAGTACACGCAATCGTATCCAAAAGGCCAAGAAGTAAATGATGGTGATGATGATGATGATGATGATGATGATGATGATGATGATGATGATGATGATGATGATGATGATGATGATGCGGAGGAGGAGGAGGAAGAAAGGAGGAGGAGGAGGAGGAGGAGGAGAGGAGGAGGAGGAGGAGGAGGAGGAGGAGCAGGAGGGGGAGGAGGAGGAGCAGGAGGGGGAGGAGGAGGAGGAGCAGGATGAGGAGGAAGAGGAGGAGGAGGGACGAGGAAGAGGAAGAGGAGCCCACAGGCCGGCGGCCCCGGAGGGCTGGCGGGGCCGCCTGCGGCGGCGCCTTGGCCGCGGCTCCCCCGGGGGCCCCGCGCCGCTCGCTGGGCCTGGCGGGCGCGCCGCCCGGCTGCGGCCGGGCCTTGGCCGCCGGGGGCTCGGTGAGGTCCTGGGCGGCGCGGCCGCCGCCACGCTGCGGGTCAAAGCCGCCGCCGCCGCCGCCACCGCCGCCTGGGCGGTGGCGCCGCCGCCGAGGTTCAGAGCCCAGACATCCAGCGCCTCGAGAGGAGTCGAGGAGGCAGGTCTGCCCTCGCGCTGGGCACCTTGAGGCCGGCCTTCGGGCCTGGAGGCCATCGGCACAAGACCTGCTGCTCCCCAGCCATCATCGCAAGCAGCAAGCAACGGTGCCTCCACGAGCTCTGGGGCCGCGAACCCCCGCGGCGAAACTGCCCCGCAGCGCGCAGCGGAGGAGCGTGCAACAGGGGACCATCAACGAAATCTCAGGATGAAAAGTGGGCCCTGGGGAAGGGGGCGAGAGTCGAGACGTCTTGGGAGCCCCGCATCGAAAAAAAACCGAAGCGCAGGATGTCTGGGAAACTCGAGCCTGTCGTGCCTTGTTGGAGCCTCCTGGGTGGGGCGCTCCCGTGGCCACAGCTGGGTGCGGCTCGAGAGTGGTTGGAACACCCCCCGTTGGGGAGGCCTGGGGGGTCGATCCTGAGGCCTGGGGGGAAGGGGGCAGACCTCCTCAGTCACCGAAAAATCGTGGCGGGTCTTCCCGAGTTCTTGGCTGGTCTTGGGCCTCCGGGCCATTAGAAAACGGCCTGGGACCCAACAAACCAAACTGTCCATTGGGTGGTGTCGAGAAACCATCATCATCATCATCATCATCATCATCATCATCATCATCATCATCATCATCATCATCATCATCATCATCAGCATCATCATCATCATCAGCATCATCATCATCATCATCATCATCATCATCATCATCATCATCATCATCATCATCCACATCATCATCATCATCATCATCATCATCATCATCATCATCATCATCATCATCATCACCATCATGATCATCATCGTTATCATCGTCATCATCATCACCATCATGATGCACCGGCGACCCATCGTCGAAGTCGGCGAGGCATCGGCGCCATCGACGTGAAGAAAGCCGGGCTGCACATCGAGCCGCATCGACGATGCATCAGCGATGCGGCGCGATCCTCCGACCCATCTACTCCGACCCCATCTAGGAGGCATAGACCTTACCCCCGCGGCTCATCATGAAGAAGCGTCGCGGGTCCACGTATGCGGCTCGCAGTAGATCGGTAACAGTGTGTTGCGTTGGGCTGGCTGGCTGGGGCAGGTGGAGGAATGAACACCCTGACACCTTGGGGCGACAGAAGCCCGAGATCCGTGATGACGTGGGGCTCAGGGCGCTTTCTTAGCGGGGCTACGCCCTGGGTAGGAGGAGTCCAAGGGAGCTCAATTTCGGCACTGTTGAAAACATCTGTGCGTTCTTAGAGGCCTCCCAGGTGATGTCCGAGTAGATGGGGTCGGAGGATCGTGCCGCATCGCCGATGCATCGACCATGCGGTTCGCTGTGGAGCCCGACGATGGACCGCGCGGGGGAAATGTATCGGCGATGCACCGGCGACGTCGGCGATGCATCGGCGACGTCAGCGTGCAGAAACTCGGGCTCCGCATCGAGCCGCATCGCCGATGCCTCCACATCCAGCAGCACCGCCGATTCACCGGCGATGCGGCACCATCCTCCGACCCCACCTGCTCGGGCCCCATCTGGGAGGCCTCGAGAGTGGAGAAGCCCGGAGGAGCCCAATCGGCGGTGGACAAACCTCCCTTTAGTAAACCTCCCCTCAGTGAAAGCGGCCTGGGACCGAAACCGACGGACTTGGACCCGTAAAAATGACGGCCACGACGCCCTCTCGCAAGCTGAAAACGGCCAATTCCTCAATCGACGTGTCAGGGTAGGAGGTCTATCCACCTCCGACCCAAAGCCGACTGCGCGTGCCCCCTCCCCCCGCGCCTGGCGTCGGAGAACCCAGGGAACCCCAGGCCTGGAGTGCGCTCTCCCTCTCTCTCTCTCTCTCTCTCCCTCCCTCCCTCCCTCTCCCCGCGCGCCGCACGCCCTCCCTCGCCCTCCCCCTCCCTCCCTCCCTCCCCCTCCCTCCCCCCCCCCCCTCCCTCTCCCCCTCCCTCTCTCTCCCCCGCCTCTCTCTCCCCCCCTCCCTCCCTCTCCCTCTCTCCCTCTCGCCCTCTCTCCCCCGCCTCCCTCTCCCTCCATCCCTCCATCCCTCTCCCTCTCTCCCTCTCCCTCCCTCTCTCCCCTCTCCCTCCCTCCCTATCCCTCTCTCCCTCCCTCTCTCCCTCCCTCCCTCCCTCCCCCCGCGAGGTCCATCACGAAGAAGCGCCGCGGGTCCGGGCGCCGGGCGTCGGCGTCGGGCGTGCCGGGCGGCTCGGCGACGCACGGGGCCTCGGCCTGGTCGGGCGCGGCCCTCGCGCCCAAACCCGGGGGGGGGGGGGGGAGCAGGCAGAGGAGGGGGAGAAGAGGGGAGGGGGAGGAGGAGGAGGGAGGGGGAGGAGGGGGAGGGGAGGAGGGGAGGAGGGGGAGGGGGGAGGAGGGGAGGAGGGAGGCAGAGGGAGTGGGAAAGGGAGCGACGGAGAGAGTGAAAGAGAGAGAGAGAGAGAGAGAGCGTGGGCGAGAGCTAGAGCCAGAGCGAGAGCGACGGCGAGAGCGAGAGCTGGAGAAACAGAGAGATAGAGAGATAGAGAAAGAAATAAAGAAAGAAAGGAAGCTATAGATAGAGGGAGAGAGTTGGGGTGAAGGAGAGAGGAGGGAGGAGAGCGACAAGCTAGGTGCGCTCGCGTCATATCTGACATCCGACCCTTCCCATCCCATCCCGCTGTGCCCAATGCCTTCCTATCTGCCAATCCGCCAGCTGAATCAGACCTGACTCCTTGAGTTGCGTGGGGGCGAAGGGGCAAGGCGCCAGGGGCAAATGGGCAAGGCGAAGGACGGGGAGGACCAGGGAGGGGAACAGGGAGGGGGATGGGGAGGACCAGGAAGGGAGGTGGGGAGGACCAGGGAGATGGGGAGGACCAGGGAGGGAGAGGGACGGGGAGGGCCAGGGAGGGAGATGGGGAGGACCAGGGAAGGGGAACAGGGAGGCAAGGGTGACGACCAGGACCGCGGGGCGCGGGGTGGGCGGCGGCGAGCCAAGGCAGCATCTTGGGAGCACGCAGGTGGGGTAGTGGCTGGGCAGGGGGTGGCTCCCGAGCGAAGTGAACCCCAGCCTCCCCCGCAGAAATCGTGGTGGGCAGAGGAAGGGTTCGCACGTGGCCCCCTACTAGGGGTGGGGCGAGGGAGGCGCGCCCTTTCGGGCTGGTCGAAGAGCACGCGGGCGAGGCAGCATCTTAGGAGCACGCGGGCGAGGTAGTGGCTGGGGTAGTGGCTGCGGCAGGCGCCTTTCGGGACGGTCGAAGACGAACCGAAGACGATCCGAGCAGAAGAGCACGCGGCGAAGAGCAGGCCGAAGAGGATCCCGGGGGACAAGGTGTATCCCTAAAAAAACGGTGCGTGAGATCCGACCTGCGCGCGGGAAGAAACAATAACCGAGTGAGGCGCGCACCCACACAACACAGCCATCTGGGGAGAGAGGGTAGTGGTACTCGTATTGAATCACTCAAGAGAGGGAGGAGAGGGGGAGAAAGGGAGAGGAAAGGGGAGGGCGGCAGACGAGAGGAGAGAAGACAACAGGAGAGAAAGCTCCTAACAGTTACATGGATGGAAGGGGGATGAAAGTGTGGCTCTCGCCTTAGCGCCGCGCACATGCGTCCTACAGACTTCCAACCGATACACTGATGAAAGGGGCATCCCTTTCAACATGTTAAACCAGTACAACCCCAATTAGTTGAAAGCTTCCTACTGCATGGGCGCAGTGCTTGGCGTTGCTTGGCATTGCTTGCATTGGTTGCAGTGCTTGCATTGTTTGGCATTGTTTGACGTTGTTTTGCATTGCTTGATGTTGCTTGGCATTGCTTGACGGTTATTTGCGTTGCTTGATGTTGTTAGGCGTTGCTGTGCATTGCTTGGCGCTGCTTGGCATTGATTGGAAACAAAACCCGACAGACCGAGGAATGCGGTAAAGAAACAAGACTCAGCAACCTGGGGAATGCAAGAAGGAAATGTGACCAAGCAACACAGGGAATGCAGAAATGAAACAAGACCAACCAAAATGGAAAATACAGTGAAGAAAAAAGACGAAGCAACCTGGGGAACGCTGTGAAGAAACAAAACCAAGCAACCCGTGGAATACAGTTAAGGAAACAAGGACCAGCAACCCAGGGACTGCAGAATGGAAACAAGACCAAGCAATACGGGGCAACGCCACAGGAAGGTAACAAGACCAAGCAACCCCAGGGAACGCCACAGTCAGGAGATAAAACGAAGCAACCCCGAATGACGCCGGCAAGCGCAAGCCTGGCACCCACCGCTTCCTCAAAAGCTCAGCTGGAGACAGCCTTACGTTTGAGACTTCCTCATTACTTCTGATCGGAGATCTAAAACTGAGCATCCGCGAGACGGATGGAGTGCGGCTCGTTTTCAAATTGCAGCTCTCCCTTACGAGCTCCTTTGGTTTGATGACCAGACGTTGAGAATGCACTAACGGTTTCACATTTTGAGGGTGGTTCTTTCTCAGCTCGGGTCTCACGCTGGACACCTCGTTGAAGCCAGCTAGGAGCATGGACGGCAGCTCCGTCTCAGAACAGGGCTCTCGACTGCGCTGCAGGATCATCGGGCGCTCGCCTTTCAAGGAAGCAACTCCCGCAGCGAAAATGAGTTCGCGTGTGCGGCCTATCAGGAGGGGACTGGGGACGGGTGGGCGTACTGTAGCATCGTTGGCGCATCTTGGGTTTACTCTGGTCCTCCTCCTGTTCCTCCTGCTGCTCCTCCTCCTCCTCCTCCTCCTCCTCCTCCTCCTCCTCCTCCTCCTCCTCCTCCTCTTCCTCGGCATCGGGCCTCCAGCAAGACGTCCTCCTCGAACACGCCGTAAGACTCCAGGTCCTCTTGCGCATGGCACGCTCCATGCAATCGGGTAGTTCCCTGAATCCGAAGGAGAGGTGGCAAGGAGGATCGAGGATCCAGATCTTGGGCCGGTTCGTGGCTTCGTTTCGGCCTCAGGAAAGCTCCTCCACGGCTGGACGCCGCGCCTCCGACGACCCGGACCCCCAAGCACCATGCGTGACTCAACCTTTTGAACGTGGGCCGGCTGGCCCCACTTGCTGCGCTGCAGGCGAATGATCCCAAGCACCACCTGATGTCCCTCCTGGTTCCAAATGTACGGAAGAATCGTCAAAAACTTACTCGAGACCAGACAAACACGACCAGCATACGATTCGTTCCGAGCAGGCCCGATTCTATACGCCGCATCTCTCTCGTCGATTCCCTTGCCCCCACGGGCTCTAATCTGCACGGCCACCTCGCGCGCGCGGGCGGTGAGTGAACAAGGGGTTGTCCACCACCCATCCGACGAGGAAGTGGGTGGAGGGACCGGGAGGAGGAGGGAGGAGGAGGAGGAGGAGGAGGAGGAGGAGGAGGAGGAGGAGCCCGCGCGGGAGGGAGGAGCCAGAAGGGAGCAGAGGAGGAGGACAGAAGAGGGAGGAGGGAGGAGGCAGGAGGGAGGAGGGAGGAAAGGGGAGGAACGAGACAGCAGGAGGAAGCGGAGTCAGCGGGAACGAGGAACAGCGGCAGCACACAGCGTGAGGAGAGAGAAAGCGCGGACGGATCGGAGAGGGAGGGCAATGGGGAGGGGGTGGAGGAGGGAGATGAAGCAGCAGGGAAGAGAAGGAGGAGGAGGAGGAGGAGAAAGAGGAGGAAGGATGAAAATAAGGTCGAGGTGGAGACCCAACAGGAGACCTGGGAGGGATGAAACGGATGATGACGACGACGACGACGACGACGACGAAGGAAAGACGACGACAACGGACACGACCACGGCGAAGTTTCCAGATTTGTTGTACCGTGTGTCCCCAGGCCCAAATCGTTTCTCGATGGCACTGGGGCCCGGAAATGACTCCTACGGGACCAAAGTGAAGAAGAACCAGCCGCAACGAGCCTTCGTGACATTGGAAATCTGGGATGACCTTATTAAGATCGACCCCGCGCCTGGGATGCGTTCTAGCCAGAACTTCGACGCAGTTCCAGCCGTGGCGACGGGGACGCTCAAGGAGGCCCAGTGGGATCACTGGCGAGCATGTCGTCGACAAAGCGCAAGCACAGCAGGCAGAACAATGCTGCCAAAATGCCCTGGACTGTCAGGCCGAACCGATCCAAGTCAGACATCGAGGCGGAGCCCCGAATGGCAAGCACAGTAACTGCAGCGCCTGGCTGTTTTCTACATATTCCTACCACGCTAACACTAAGAACGGCAAGTGGCCGTTGCAGACAAGCAGTCTTAAAAAAGTGCTTGAAATCATCTTCCCTCACTTCCATCGGACCGCAATGCTGTGCCCGTTTTGCACCATCCGGTGCACCATGGAAACCAAACGATCGCAAGGGTTAGGTGGGGCCTTCTCGCAACACATAACACCACCGGTCACCATCGAGGCAATGAAATCGTCAATGCATTTCACTAAGGGCACCCAGCCGTGAAAAACTTGTTGCTCTCTCTTGGGCGATGAAGAATCTCGCGATCAGAACGCACGAGTCACAATACTCCCGGTTTGCCGTCTACGGCTTCTTCATCAGCACCACTCTGGAGAAATTGCGCACAAATTTCGACGTCGCTGCTGCGCTGCGCAGCGATTCTGCCGAAGGTCGCGTGGTTCCGTCGCGCGGGCGACTTTGAATTGATCACCGTGTTTCGGCTGGTTCCAGACATGTTTCTGCGATCTCGTGGATGCGACTAGCAGGCATATTTCCCACCAACGGGAAACCATGAGAGGTTTTGAAACAAATTCTGGTGGTGCCAATCTATCGCATTCACAAATTCCGTCAACTGGAAAAGATTCCCCCCTGGCCCAAACACCGGATGGCAGTGCGAACGCAAACTTCTAAACCGATTTGCCACCGGGGGTCGGTCACCAGCTTCCGCTGTTGCCAAAATTATGAAGCAGAGTTACGCGTGGCTTGCAGCTCTGCAACGGACATGTTTGTTGACCGCACGAAGGAACCACTTAAATCGGCATGGATAGCGTCTCGCCAACAGCGGACAAGCGGAGTGCCCACTGCAGGCGGCCCCGCGGACCGAGGCGATGATTTCGCTGAGTCGTCGGCGGTGGCCGAGGCTCACTTGTGGTTCCACCGATCCTTCTGCCCCCTTTGGCGCAGCCGACTGCATGGCCGCGCCCCCCGCCGCTTGTCCCCCTGGACAGGCGAAGGGGGGCGCCAGACAGGGTGCTCGTTGGCCTTCCAATCGGCCTTGCCATTGTCAGCCTTGCCCCAAGCATCGTCGCCGCCCCTACTGCGCGACGAGCCGGAAGACGGCGGCGCCCACATTGCCGACGATCTCCGCCAGGAGCCGGGCCATCGAAATGCAATGGACGACGGCGTCCTGTTCCTTTGCCTTCGGATCGCCTCCCAGGACGACATGGATCCACACACGCGCGGCGTGCTCATCGGCGCCATGGAATGTTCCCGACGGGAGAATGCGGATCACATCGGCGATCTCAGAGTTGCTGAAAGGACATCGCCTCGGAGAATTTTACGCCAGGACAAGCGCGCACTGAAACGCAGAGCACCTCAGTACTGGCCAGGGCAGTGTGACTTGAGTCTGCATGGCAGCGGACGGAGGCAGGGGGGGCCCGTGCCCGACGCCGGGCCGCCGCGCCTGGACTCGCACACCGCTCTCGCTACTCGGGCGACGGAATGCACGCACCCCGCCGTCAACCTCGAGCACCCCAGTTGAGTTACCTGGAGCTCGCCGCGCCGCGAAGCCGCCGCCAGCGCCAGACGTTCGTCACTCTGCACTCTCCCGCCTCTCGCCAGCTGTGCTCGAGCGGTTTTGTCCGCCCTACCTGCCCCGCTATCTTCGATCGACCTGGCGCCCCCAGAAGGGGCGAGAGGACCGCGCAGAGTGGTTTTTTTCTCAGGACGGAAAAAAACGAAGAGAAGGGGGGGATGCATAAAGCGCCGCCGCCGTCAGAGCGCCCAAGGTCGTTCTGACAGCGCCACGGAACGCTCTGGGATACCTCATTATCGGCCGAGCGTGGGACTCCATTACTGGACGACGATATCACTTCCTTGTCGGCCCCACGGAGCACCTCCCCGTCTGCCAAACAGGTAACCTTCTATCGGCCGCAGAAAGCCACGACTACCCACGCGCCTGCCACTTCCACATCCTCCGAGGACAAAGAGGGGTCAAGCAAGAAAGAGGGAAGAAGCGAGGCCTCTGAGGTCGGTGGCTGGGCTGCCCTCTTTGGGGCCGCTCTTTTTGACGGTATCCAATTTGGGGATGCCCCTTTCTTCAACGTCGCCATAACGGCCTGCGTACCGCTCACGTTGATACTGACGCGGGCTAAGCCGATGGCCAGCAAGCGCTGTCTAAGACTTGCTTTGCCGTCCGCGACGGCGTTGGTCTAGGCTCCAGGCGAAGCCCAGTGACCAGGTGGCCCAGGTGTAACCTGGCCTTCTGCTGTAGCTGGCTCGGGCGAAGCCCAGTGACCACACGAGCCAATCGAGGATCGGTCCTGCCGTCCACGATGCGCTGGTTCGGGCGAATCCCGGTGACCAGAGGGCCCAGGCGTTGCTCAGTTCTGAGATGTTGCTGGTTTGAGCGCAGCCCAATGGCCAGAAAGCCCAGTCGAAGACCGGTCGCATCGTCCGCGACGACGGTGCGCGACCTGTCAAAGAGGTCGCAAGAGTGCTCCAGCGCACTCTGGTCGAGCCGCCGCGGTGAGCACGGCGCCCAGCACTTGGAAGGCACTCAGCGGAGCAACTGGCGCCCACCGGCAGCAGGAAAAAAGGCCACCACAGTTTCTGGTTTGCCCTTTCTTGTTTTGTCAACCCCCTCGCAAACAAAAACCTCGTTTGAACACTCTCACCGCGGTTACCTCGTCAAAGCAATCCACGGCGGCCAGCGGGCGTTGGTTCGTCTTTTGACTTGCTGGCGGCCAACCCCTTGTTCAATATCTGCGCCGAGCCGCGCAGGCCTGCCTTGTCCGAGCAGGGACCCGTCCCTCGTCCAGTGGGTTTCTCTTATCCACGCAGGGATCAGTTCCTTATCCAGGAACTGCGGCGACATTGGATTTGTCTTATCCAGGCAGGGACCCGCTCCCCGTCGGGGAGCCGATCGTTGCCGCGTGGGTTTGCCTTGTCCAGGAAGGAACCCGTTCCTTACCCAGGAACTGCGGCGACATTGGTTTTGTCTCATCCAGACAGGGACCCGCTCCCTGTCGGGGAGCCAAGCGTTGCCGCATGGGTTTGCCTTATCCATGCAGGGACCCGTTACTTATCCAGGAACTGCGGCTGCATCGGGTTTGCAATATCAAGGCAGGGACCCGCTCTCTCTCTCTCTCTCTCTCTCTCTTTCTCTCTCCCTCTCTCTCTCTCTATCTCGGAGAGCCGAGCGGAGGCGCGAGCACCTGGTACACGAGGAGTGTTTGTCCTTGGCATCCCTGGGCGTTCCATGTCGGGGAGCGGGGTGTGAGCCCGAGCGCCTGGTACACGAGAGTTGTTTGCCCTTGGCCTCTCTGGTCGCTCCCTGTCGGGACAGTGAGCGAAGGCGCGACCGCGCCGTTTGGGCGCGACGCGTGAGCGGCAGCAGCAAAGCGGCGGCGGCACAGCGGAGGAAGGCTCAGAGGCCGCAAGCCAGCAATTGCAGGCAAAGGCGAGAAAGCAGAACAGGCGAAGGTCCACGACCCCTCTCCTGGCGATATTCCGACCCAGGAACCCAAGATTTGGGAATTACGAAAGAATCATGGATGCTCGATCGTCCTTCCCCCTCACCGCCCGCCCCCCTTTGAGGAGGACCTCTGGTAGTTTCCAGAAGTTCCCCGAGGCCCCCAGAGGCCTCTCGAGGTCACCAGAGGCCGGGAGAGACCTCTGGGACCAAACTTGTGAACATCTCGAAACTCGACCTTCGATCCACCTCGAGGCGGCGAGACGACCAGGTCTTCCTTCCTCCTCCTCATCCACCCTCCTTCTCCTCGATCCTCGACCCTCGAGCCTCGAAGCGCATTCAAATACCGTCCCCCTGTCCCTGAGCCGAAGCCCACCCTGGCAATTTTCGAATCCCGGACCGATCTCCGGCGGCCCGGGAGCCCGAAAACAGCCCCGAGAGCCCAGGATCACGACCCTCCCCCTCGGGACGGCGTGGCGGCACGGATCCTCACTGGAGTGGCACCGCGGGCTCTCGGCCGCGCCTGCCGCGCCTTCGGCGTCTCTGGCGGGGTCCTGCGGGAAACCCATGGCTTCCGGAGGAGGCCGTCGCTGTCATCTTCTTCCTCCTTCTCCTCCTCCTCCTCCTCCTCCTCCTCCACCTCCTCCTCCTCCTCTCCTCCTCCTCCTCCTTACCCTCCTCCTCCTCCTCCTCGTCCTCCTCCTCCTTCTCCTCCTTTTCCTCATTCTCCTCCTCCTCCTCCTCCTTATCATCCTCCTCCTCCTTCTCTTCCTCCTCGTGTTCCTCCTTCTTCTTCTCCTCCTCCACCCCTTTACCTTGTGAATAGTTCCTTCCTGTCGCACCCCCAGACGTGTCGGCTGGGCGGGCAAGGCGTTTGGCTAAGACGTCCTCACCATTCATGATCCTGAAGCTTGAAACTTGCAACCGATGGAGTGCAACCCGTTTTCAATGTGCGGCTTTGTTACGCGCGCGTTCGTCTTAAACGCGTGCAACAGCTTCAAGGATGCCAAGGGTGGATGAGATCGTATGTGTGGCTCTCGCCTTCACGCCGCACACATTCGTCTGACAAAAACTGCAACATGTTCAAGGATGGAGGGCACCCGTCTTCAAAATGTGGCTTTCGCTTCAGTGCCTCACACAGTCGTGTGTAAAGTTGGCAACAGCTTCAAGCATGGAGCGCAGCTCCTTTTTCGAAATAAGGTAGCTACCACCGTATCGCCGCGCACGCTCATCTTGAGAGTTTGCAATACGTTCAAGGGTTCGTATGATTCAAAGTCCCAGGAATGGCGTTCTGGCGCGATGCAGAGCTGTCAGCACGCAGCGATGGTGTTGGTTGGAAGCGCTGTAGTCCCAGGGTTGACGCTCTGGCACAAGGTATGGGCTTTCAGGACGCAGCAGTCACATTGATTCGCGGGGTGTTGTCCCAGGAATGGTGTTCTGGCACGGTTCAAGACTATCAGGACGCAACCGTCATGTGGATTCGCGGAGTCGAAGCCCCAGGAATTTCATTTTGGCACGACTGAGAATTCTCCGAAGTTTGTCCTCAGATGGGGCACATCTGGCAACACAACTGAACTATTGCAGGGACCTGTGAAGAGGGATCATAAAAGGGGAGGGAGGCACTGCAACTCCGTTGATGCGTCTTGGGTCTACTCTGGTCCTCATGCTCCTCCTCCTCCTCCCCCCCTCCTCCACCTCGCCACCATCGTAGTCATTCGAATCATCATCAGATTCATCCCCACCATCAGCAGCAGAAGCATGATCATCATCACCATCATAACCATCAACAACCTACTGAACACCGCATTAATCAGTCATCATGGTCATCAGCATCACCATCATCAACATCAGCATCAGCATAGCATCAACATCAGTAGCATCAGCATCAGCATAGTCAACAGCGCCAACATCATCATCATGGTCGTCGGCAGAAGCAGCAGTATCCCCCTTCTCCTCATCCTCCTGCCCAATGTTCAGCTCCACAAATCCTCAGCTCATCGGCTCCACACCCTCCGTTTCATCTCCTCCTCCTCCTCCTCCTCCTCCTCCTCCTCCTCCCTACTCCTCCTCCCTACTCCTCCTCCTCATCATCATCACTATTCCTCCTCCTCTTCCTCCCTCCCTCCCTCCTCCTCCTCCTCCTCCTCCTCATCCACCTCCTCCTCCTCCTCCTCATCATCATCATCATCAGCATCAGCATCCTCATCCTCATCCTCCACCCCTTTATCCTGTGAGTATGTTCTCCCTGTCGCACCCCGAGGCGTGTCGGTGGGGCGGGCAGGGCGTGTGGCCTGAGACGTCCTCACCATGTATGGCCCTGCAGCTTGAAACTTGCAACAGGCTCAGAGGATGGAGCGCGGTCCAGTTTTCCCATATGCTTTGGCACGCGCACACCCGTCGCACACGCATGCAAGAGCTTCAACGTTATAAAAGGCGGCTGCTAGAATAAATGGGGCTCTCGCCTAACGGCCGCACGCCTTCGTATTAAAATGCTGCAACATTATCACGTGTGGAGGGCAGCCGTTGTCACCATGCGTTTCTCGCACCAGTACCCCGCACATTCGTTTGCAACGGTCTCACAAATGGGGGGCCGCTCCTGTTTCAAAATGCGGCTATTGCCGTATCGCCGCGCACACTCGTCTTGAAAGTCTGCAACGCGTTCAAGGATTCGTGTGGTTCAAGCCCCAGGAATGGTATTCTGGCACGGTGTAGGGCTGTCAGGACGATTTGAGGTGTTGCAGGCCCAGGACTGGTGCCCTGGCACAATGTATGGCTGTCAGGACGCAACAGTCACATTGCTATGCGGCGTCGATGTCCCAATAATGGTGCGCTGGCACGATTTAGGGCGACCAGGGCACAACCGTCATGTTGGTTCGCTGCGTCGACGTCCCAGGAATTGCGTGTTGGCGCGGATGGGGATTATCGGACGGTTGTCCTCCGGTGCGGCTCCCGCGGTAAAGCTGGACTCGTGTAGGGACCTGTGAAGAGGGATCGTGGTTGGTGCGTGTTGGGTCGACTCTGGTCCGTATGCTCCTCTTCCTCCCCCCCTCTCCCCTCGCAACCATCATCTTAATCAACAGCACCAACAATAGCATCGGCATCAGCATCCGCATCATCATCAGCAGCAGCATCATCGCCAGCATGGTCATCGTCACCATCATCATCAGAATCAGCATCAGTACCATCAGCATCATCAGCATCAGCATCATATCATCAACAACATCGTCAACATGATCATCATTAGCATCACCATCAACAGCACAATGAACATCATATACATCATCCTCAGGAGCAGCATCAGCATCTTCAACCTCATCAACCGCACCATAATCATCATCATCATCATCATCATCATCCGCAACATCATCAGCATCCCAATTATCAGCAGCAGCATCATCAGCATCATCAGCATCAAGAGCAGCAATATCAACAGCAGCATCAGCATCATCATCGTCATCATCGTCACTGCCATCGTCCTCATCATCACCATCATCGTAAGCAGCAGCAGCAGAAACCCCCTTCTCCTCATCCTCCTGCTCTTTGTTCAGCTCCACATTTCCTCAGCTCATCGGTTCCGCCTCCTCCTCCTCCCCCTCCTCCTCCTCCTCCTCCTCCTCCTCCACATCCTCCTCCTCATCATCCACCCGTGTACTGTGTGAATAATTCCTCCCTGTCGCACCCCCAAAACGTGACGGTAGGGCGAGCAAGGCGTTTGGCCTGAGGCGTCCTCGCCATTTGTTCTCCTGAAGCTTGAAACTTGCAACAGGTTCAAGGATGAAGCGCGGACGTTTCAAAATGTGGTCTTGGCATGCGCAACCTCGCCTTAAACGCTTGCAACTGCTTCAAGGATGCAAAGGGCGGTCGATATTGCAAATTTGACTCTCACCGTCACGGCGCACAGATTCGTCCTAACAGGTTGCAACATGTGTATATATGTGGCTCTCGCCTCAGTGCCGCACACATTCGTGTCCTGCCGTTGCAAGCATTTCGAAGATGGAGAGCGGCTCCGTTTCAAAATGCAGCTATCGTCGCATTGCCGCGTACATTCGTCTTGAAAGTTTTGCAACGCGTTCAGGGATTCAGATGGTGAAGTCCCGGGAACGGTGTTCTGGCACAATGTAAGGCTGTCAGGGCGCGACGATCACGTTGATCTACGGTGTTGTAGCCCCAGGATTGATGCTCTGGCAGGATGTAAGGCTGTCAGGGCGCAAAAGTCACATTGATTTGCGGCGTTGGAGTCCAAGGAACTGTGTTTTGGCACGGCTGTACACAGATGCTGCACTTCTCGCAATAAAGCTAGATTCTTGTAGGGACCTGTGAAGAAGAGTGTTGGGGGGAGGGTGGCCTGCAATTTCGTTGATGCGTCTTGGGTCTACCCTGGTCCTCATGCTCCCTGCTCCTCCCCCTCCTGCTCCTCGCAATCACCATAATCATCATCAGAATCATCATCATCATCATCATCATCATCATCATCATCAGCAGCAGCAGCAGCAGCAGCATCACCATCATCAACAACAGCAGCAGCCGCAGAAGAAGAAGCAAGAACAGCATCTGCATAAACATCATCAACATAACCAACATCAGATCCATCACCGACACCACTACCACCACCACCACCACCACCATCATCATCATCATCATCATCATCATCAGCATCATCATCATCGACATCGGCATCGTCATCATCATCAGCATCATCACTACCAGCATCATCATCAGCATCATGGTCATCACCATCAGCAACATCATCATCATGATCATCATCAGCAGCATCATCAGCATAATCATCATCACCACCATCATCATCAGCATCATCAGTTTCACCTTCATCTTCATCATAATCGTCGTCGTCGGCAGAAGCAGCAGCAGTATCGTCATCCTTCTCCTTTTCCTCCTGCTCTCTTTTTCAGTTCCACACTGCCTCAGTTCAGCGGCTCCTCCTCGTCGTCCTCCCTCCTCCTCCTCCTCCTCCTCCTCCTTCTCCTCCTCCTCCTCCTCCTCCTCCTCCTTCTCCTCCTCCTCCTCCTGATCCTCCTCCTCCTCCTCCTCTTCCTCCTCCTCCTCTTCCTCCTCCTCCTCCTCCTGCTTCTGTTTCCATTCGAGCGCATTCCGCCAGCATCCTGGGCCGCTGGCCCCCCTGGCAGACAGAGGGGGCTCTAGCAACCGACACACACGACATCGACGGTATGCCGGCGATTCTGCGAGCCCCGTAGCCTGCCACAGGCAGGTCTGGACGCCCGTCGGGGGAGCGCTCTCTTGCCAGGTCCCCCGGCGCCGAAGGATGCCACTGGACCGACGGAATGGCGGGAGGAGGGGGGAGGGGAGAGGGCGGGGAGGACGGGGGGAGGGGGAGGGAAGGGGCTGGGCCAGGGGCCGAGAGGAGGGGAAGTCAGAAAGAAGGGCAGTCACAGAAGGCCGCCCTGCCAGCCGACTCACACCACCCCTGGCGGGGTCGCCGCCTCTCCACGGCCTCTGGGATGGGGTAGTCATTGGCCGGTGCTGGCACTGCGGGTCCGCACGAGAAGCCGCGGGGTGCCCGAAGAACGCCGGGGCCGCCGATGCCCGCAGCTCTCTGGGCGCCCCGCTTTTTCTCGTGCGTACCGCCAATCGGGCTCCCTCAGTCCCCGGCTGCCCGCTTCACCTCCTTGGCCTGGCCGCTGGCCCAGCCGCCACCTCCACGCCAGCCAGGGCACCTCGGGCGCAGCGCCGCGCCAGCTCCGCGGCCGTCGCGCGCCGCGGCATTAGAGGCCTCCCAGATGGGGTCCGAGTAGATGAGGTCGGAGGATCTCGCCGCGGCGATGCATCGGCGACGCATCGGCGATGCGTCGCGATCCTCCGAACCTCTACTCCGACCCCATCTAGGAGGCCTAGCATCCCGCGACGCCTGAGTCGCGCAGGGGCAGCGGGGGAAGTGCGCAGGTTCAAGCTCCGCGCTGCCGCATCACAGGTACGCGGCCTATGCCACCCCGATCCTTGAATTGGAACGGCCCTGCAGGCGCCACTGTACCAAAGGCCAGACCACACCCGCTAGAAGCAACTCGGCAGCGTGAACAAAAAACACCTGGTGTTCTCGCGAACACCTGAATCTCAGAGGCCACCACCACGACGCCATCAGCACAACATGTCCTCCTCCTCCTCCTCCTCCTCCTCCTTCTCCTTCTCCTCCTCCTGCTTGTCCTCCTCCTATTCCTCCTCATCCGCCTCCTCCACCTCCTCTTCGAATTGTGATTAGGATCAATATCCCTCTTATCACTAATAGCATTATTGTTAGTGGTATAATGTTTGCGGATGTTGCTTATTACTGTTATCGTTAGTAGTACAATCAGTAAATGAAATTCTTCGATAATCAGTACTGTTATTATACGTATAGTGCTCTTCTTTCTCTTCTTATTAGTACTATTGTTTCTCTTCCTCCTCCGCCTCCTTCTCCTCCTCCGCCTCCTCTACCTCTATCTCCTTCTCCTCCTCCTCCTCCACCTCCTCCTCCTCCTCCGCCTCCTCCTCCTTCTTCTCCTGATGGTCCTCCCTCGCACCCCTCCCTCCATCCCTCCATCCCTCCACCTCCCTCCCCCCTCCCTTCCCAAATACTCCCTTGGGAAAGGGAAGACCCTGCGGCATGTCCTCGAGCAGCCACTGAGGAGAGCCCGCGCCTTCTGCTGACCGCGGGTGGCCTCTGCCTGACGACGAAGTGGGCGAGTGGCGCGGGGCCCGCCGAGACCGCGGATCCAACGCCACGGCCCGCCCAGTGTTGGTCCTCCTCCTCCTCCTCCTCCTCCTCCTCCTCCTCCTCCTCCTCCTCCTCCTCCTCCTGCTTCTCCTCCTCCTCCTCCTCCTCCTCCTCCTCCTCCTCCTCCCTCCTCCTCCTCCTCCTCCTCCTCCTCCTCCTCCTCCTCCTCCTCCTCCTCCTCCTCCTCTTCCTCCTCCCTCCTCCTCCTCTCTCCTCCTCCCTCTCCTTCTCCTCTCTCCTGCTCTTCCACCTCTCCCTCCTCCTCCTCCTCCTCCTCCTCCTCCTCATCCTCCTCCTCCTCCTCCTCCTCCTCCTCCTCCTCCTCCTCCTCTTCTCCTCCTCCCTGCTCCTTCTCCTCCTCCTCCTCTTCCTCTTCCTCATCTTCCTTCTCCTCCTCGTCCTCCTCCTCCTCCTACTCCTCCTCCTCCTCCTCCTCCTCCTCCTTCTCATCATCATCATCCTCCTCATCATTGTCATCATCATTCTAAACATCATCATCAGCATCATCATCATCATCATCATCATCATCATCATCATCATCATCATCATCATCATCATCATCATCATCATCACCACCACCACCATCATCATCATCATCATCATCGTCATCGTCATCATCATCATCAGCAGCAGCAGCATCATCAGCATCACCCTCCCCCTCCTCAGTATCATCATGGGCATCATCACCTTTATCATCATCATCATCATCATCACCACCACCACCACCACCACCACCACCACCATCATCATCATCATCATCAGCAGCAGCAGCATCATCATCATCATCATCGTCACACTCAGCATCAGCATAATCCTCAGCATCATCAGCATCATCATCAGCATTATCATCTTCAGTATCATCAACATCAGCAGCACCGCCATCGTCATCATCAGAATCATCGGCATGATCAGTATCGTTCTCATTTTCATAATCAGCAGCAGCATCATCATAACCATCATCATCGTCATCATTATCAATATGAGCATCAACACCCTCATCCTCATCCTCATCATCATAATACTTCCCAGCATGATCATCATCCTCAAGAGCATCATCATCGTCAGCATCACCCTGATGATCATAATCGTCGTCATAATGAGCATCATAAGCAGCATCATCACCATCACCATCACCATCATCATCATCATCATCAGCAGCATCACCATCATCATCATCATCATCATCATCATCATCATCATCATCATCATCGTCATCGTCATCGTCATCCCCCTCCTGATCATCATCAGTATCATCATCATCATCAGCACCAGCATCATAACCATGATTATCAGCATCATCAGCATAATCAGCATCATCAACATCAGCATGAGCGTCGTCATCATCATCAGCAGCAGCACTTCCACCATCATCATCATCATCGTCAGCAGCAGCATCATCATCATGATCGTCATCATCATCATCATCGTCATCATCATCAGCATCAAGATCATCGTCGTCATGACCATCAGCATCGTCATCGTCATCAGCATCATCGGCATTGTCATAATCATCATCACCGGCATCGTCAGCATCATAATCAGAAAAAGCATCATAAGCATCAGCATCAGCACAACATCATCATCAGCATCATCAGCATCATCATCATCAACATCATGAACATCATCGTCATCATCATGATCATCACTGTCGGCATCATTATCAGCATCAGCATCAGCATCCGCATCATCAGCATCATCATCACCGTCTCATCACCACTTTAGTGTCATGCAGCACAACCTCATCATTAACATCATCATCATCGATCAGCAGCAGCACTATCATCATTATCGATCAGCAGCAGCATCAGCAGCAGCACAACATCATCATCAGCAGCGTCGTCATCATGAGCAGCATCATCATTGCCATCACAATCATCATAAATAGAATCATCATCAGGTGCATCAGTATAATGATGATTATCATCAGCACCATCGTTCACATAATCACAATCAACATCCTCACCATCAGCATCATCAGCCTCGCTGTCGTCATCGACATCAGCACAAGTACCATCATCGTTTGCATCAGCATCGTCATCATCATCGTCATCAGCAGCATCAGCATCATTTGAATCATCGTATTCCCCATCATCATATCATCACCATCATCAGCATCATAATCATCGTCGTCGTAGTCGTCGTCGTCCTGTTCATCATGATGCTTGTCGTGCTGTTCATACTCGTCGTCACGAGAATCATCATCACCAACACCACCAGAATCACCAGCGTCAGCCAAATCATACCATCATCTTACTCACTCTCGCAATCCATCACCATACAT